GCACAACTAAACTTGGTACTGATCATTCCTGTAAAGTTTGAATGAAATTGCACCAGTAGTTTATGAGGAGTAGTCCGGACAAGCTTTTGTGTATCTGGCAACACACAGAAAAAAACACCATTTTTATCAAAGGGCTATAACTCGGCCAAAAATCATTCAACCGACAAACCTGTGCAATATGCACAAGGACTTGAGCTACAGATCAATCCTGTAAAGTTTCATTGAAATTGCATTCGTGGTATAAGAGAAGTAGTCCGGACAAACTTTAAAATAAAAATTATTAAAGGGCAATAACTCTGACAAAAATCATTGAACCGGTAAATGCTGAAAATATGCACAACTAGACTTGGTACTGATCATTCCTGTAAAGTTTGGATGAAATTGCACCAGTAGTTTATGAGGAGTAGTCCGGACAAGCTTTGTGACGGACGGACAGACGGACAGACAGACAGACTACGGAGAAGTGATCCCTATATGTCGCCACTACTCCGAGGCGACACAAAAAAACGTATGTCGTACAGACTACACTGCACACCGTGCCATTTAATGATTCTAAAAGTTGTACAATGATGAAGAGATTTTATACAGAAACCTTCAAAATTGCTTGGAATATAGTTTAAAGCAGTAAGTACAAATACGCAATTGAATACATGACTAAAAATATAAAAAAATATATAGATGTCCTTATGTAAATAAAATAACTGAAAACATTTAAATGACGAAAATACGAAAATTCCTAAAATTGTTGATAGCATATCGATGGATATTCACTGAAATTAATGGCAAGATCATGTTAAAATTAGAAGTTTACCTGTTGCCGAAATAGTAAGTTCTGAAGATGAACATACTTGCACCAGCTATAAATATAGTACATTAAGCTGAACACATAAGACCAGTAAAACTAATTCATTAACAAAATCCTCTTCATTATGACAATCAACACCGAACTCACGACAACCAATCTTCATTTAAAGTGTGTAAATTGAGATCAATTGGATCGATTCGGTGAACATCTTATCTTTAAAAAGTGTACATTTAAGGTATAACTTACCATAGAATGGGTGCACCTTGGATAAAAAGGAAAGAAAGAAATACAGAGCAGTTTTCTTTGTTGGCTTGGACAAACGTATAGGATTGAAGATGAATAAATAAAAATGTCCAAATATAGATAACAATTATAAACTAATTTGATGACATGACTGTTTCTCTGATATGTTTACGGCCATCAAATAAAATATGATAAACAAGATCAACAAGGAAAGGCGGCGTTCAATGAACGCAACCTCACCCGACCCAGTAACAAGAGCCAGTGGCAAGGAGCCCAAGAGGACCCACACAATCCGTTAGTTTGTTTGTAAATGGAAATAAAGTGATGACATATTTTTTCGTTGTTTAATATCAGAAGGATTAGAGGAACATGTTTTGCCAAGTATCCCGTCTGTCTAATATGCCTAAAATCAAATATTGTAACAATGACAAGACCATAGATCAACAGGTGGTGAAAGAATACGACATTATCAGAGAAAGCCTTTCTTAATATGTTTACCTCATACGTAAACTTCAGTTGCTTTGACACCCTTAAGCATTGAGAGGAGGAACAGTGTTAATGACTTATAACCATTCTCATTGTTGAAGTTTTTGTCTTTATCTATTTTTTTTGTTTTGCTGTTGTTGTTGCTGTTGTTGTTGTTGGTGGTGTTGTTGTTTGGTTTTGTTGTTGGTTTTTTTTTTCACAGCTGTTTACTGTCTATGTCTAAAATAAATAACTTCAGTAACGCTCCGATAAGTATAGCACAAATTAAATGTTATATAATTGCTCATTTTATGATTGTTTTTGCTAATCAAAGCATTTTTTTTTTCGGAAACATAAAATTGTTTGTACATTAATGCTGCGATTTTCTATTGTAGAACATATTCATTTATATGATATATTTTGTATTGTTTAAACCCTTATTGATAGTTGTGATGTAGTAAATATTGATGGATATTCTTTTTTGTCAAAGAATAGAATGCAACCTTATAAGCGTAAATCAGGCGGCATAGGTATTTATATAAAAGAGCTTTTATCCAAATTTATTAAAGTAATACCAAATAATAATGAATACATATTATGGGTTAGTATTGACAAACAGTTATTATAAGCCTGGGTTCCAGTCTGTCGATTTTTTATGTGCTTCTGTTCGGCAAATCGACAGCCTGGGGAAATACAATTTAGAATAGATACTACTGGATCTGAAAATGTGGCCGGTTTTAACAATTGAGGGAGTACAAAATATGATAAGCAAGATCAACAAGGAAAGGCGGCGTTCAATGAACGCAACTCCCACATGACCCAACAACAGGAACCAGTGGCAAGGAGCCCAGGTAGACCCCAAACAAAAAACAGGACAGAACACTAGGCAGAGCACGGACATGCTAATCACTAAAATGATAAATAATATGTAACTGATAGAAATTAGAAATTCTAAAAAAGAACAAATAATTGATTGAATAAAAGGAAATAATTGGTAACTGACAAGGAATTCAAAGAAAAAAAAATAGACTGAACAATAGGCCCACAAAGGCATAGGGGAAGGGGACAGAAGACCCGGGGAAGGGGGGGTGGGTAAATTAAAGAAATAAGAACAAGGGCAAAGGGGAAGATACTTGCCGTAGACGAAAAACAACAAGGGACACAAGCAAAAGTGTCACCAAAACAGTATGAAACAACATAGACATACATCTGAGGAACACAGAGGGGCGCCGCCTTGGAAAGGTCAGCAGCATACTTATGACTGCCGGGGAGTTTAAACCGGTTAATGGTGCACCAAACCTCACTCTTAGCCCCACCATGTACCTATAAACGAGACAGTGAAAATAAAATGAATCCCCGCCAAGTGTACAACTCAAGTGCTAGCACTAAGCTGTTGACTGTGTCTGTATTCTTCAGAATACAAAATATATTTCAACTTTACATTTCATTTGCATTAAACTTTAAACACATACTGCATACATTTTCTGTCTAACTTGTGTATAGCAGTGCTTTAAAAACCTTGATTTCTAAAGATTTTACTGGAATCACATTTTCATGTATGTTTTTGTGTCTCCATCCCGTCTTTTACCCTTTGTGCAGAATTCTCTCCACACTTGGCTCAACTGTTTATCTCATCTTACTCAAGGTTAAGGTTGCCTTGAAAATCGAATGTCAAACAATTTCGTGTGTGTATCATAAATGAAAAAATCCTTGAAGGACTTTATTCAAACTTAACTTAAACGTTCACCTTAAAAGTATAGGGATAAGTGGACTGGCATTAAATCCTGTGTCATGCATAGAGGCGATATTGGGTATCGATTCACTACATGTGACAGTTTAAGATACTTTGAAAGAAAATGCTACTTTTTTCAGATTTTTTCACACAAAAAAAAGAACAAGAGATATCTTTTAAGTCTACAAAGTTTATAAAGATAATAATTTCATAAAATCTTACCAAAGTTGTCAAAATTATTATTTCCAGACCTATTTTTAATAAAACATTAGAGAAAGAATCCTTTTCAGAACTTATTACTTTACAATATTATAGAACTACTTTAACATAAGGGAGAAATTCCAATATAACATTGATAAAATATATTGAAAAATTGTCATCAATTCAAGGGAAACAACTCCTACTATTTTAAAATTGATATCAAATTAAGAGTTGTACCTCTTGGCATGAATATATCATAAAAAAATAAAAAAAGAACAAAGGGCATTCAAGATGTTCAAGAGAAAAAGATACAAAAAGGGCAGTGGGTGCAGTACAGAGTGGATCAAGCCTTAATAAGTAATGAGTAAATGATACTTCTTAGTATGGACACAGGCACTATTCATTGCACAGAAAAATGAAACAAAAACATAAAACTCGTTTGCTTAAATGTTTAATGAAATTATTCAATATACAACAAAAATATGGCCTAAACTTGTCAAAGTGATTATTCTATTAACCATTATCACACTGAATATCTTAAATGGACTTTTCAACCTTTCAGTCTGGACAAAACCATTATCATAGGGATCTTTAGAAATTAAATCTGCCTAAATAGCAAAAGTGCTGACCATGGTCAGATGGCTAAGTTAGCTTAACTGACTGGCTGATCTTGGTCTGCACTGGTTGTATGGAGAAAATCAGCTGCCACCAGAAGGCTTTTAAAGTTTTAATCAAAACAATATGGGCTCTTACAGATTCATGCTATATACATATACATGTATGTTATTAAAAATTAGAAAGTCTTTTAAACAGCAAAATTGTAGTCAAACAAACAGATAAAATTATTACAGCTATTATAAGGCACTTATATTTCACACAGATGATCACCTTATAGTATCAGACAAAATATACAAATCTTTCCGAAACTAGTAATGGGATAAGATTTGGTGATGATAATGGCAAATTCATAACATATTGTACTGTTATACAGTATGGGATCTTACAGATTAAAGCTATATACATGTATTAAAGAGATTAAAGTCAAAATACTTCAAATATTTTTATAAATATGCTTTAAAATAGTTAAATGTAGCATTATATGGCATAACATATACAATGTATCGCACATGTTAGTATAATATATATAATAATATACATGGTGATTGGTAAAAAAAACCCCTCTAACTGCAATCCCATTTTGATATTCTCTCTCTTATATATTTTCCTCTTTTTTTTTTCTTTGAAAATTGAAAAGAAAAAAATCATTTTGTCTGGAAAGGTGCAGAACTGATATATTTTGTCTACATTTTAAGTGTTCTGTATTTTAAGTACTTTATTGTCAAACATCTGTTTGTATTCTGCTATAATTCTTCACAATAGAAATATTAATAAAACATCTTATTTATTTTGTAAAGAAGGCAATGTGTCGGAACATCTATAGATCAATTAAACTAAATAATATGTAACAATAATTTCTATAATTAAATTTTGAATGATGATGATCGGATGTGTTTTATCCCATTGTTAGTGTCATGTCATATCTTGTCATGTCTTTTACATCATTTCATACACTTTGATATAATTGCCATCACTGTCATTGTCACCATTAAATCTACTAACACAAAGTGAACGACTTTCAGCACACCAACATACAGCTTGAGGTCTATCTACATTCTCCAGTATAGTTTTTCTGTCCTTACAGTCACCACTTACTCTATATATACAATAACTTGCGTAACCATTCACTAAAAGAGACCCATCATCTAACAGTGTTATACCACATGGATAGTTAAATTCTACTAATCCTATCATCTCTCCCTGCCAGTTAAATCGTAGAACTGCAGGTTTGTAACTGTCAGATACATAAATTGAATGACTGTTTGTTGTGACATACTGAGGATGACTGAATATATTGCCACCATTGGAATCTTTATCAACTTTAACTTCAGTATTACCATGTAAATCCATGATTTGTAGTCTAGCTGTAAATGTGACTGCAAGTTTTCCCTGATGATGACTGATACCATAACACGCTCCATCTACATTCAGTTTGTTCTTTAGTGAGAGTGAGTCTGGGGAGAAAGAAATGAACTGTATTAATTTACTTTGTGGTAATGTAACAGCAAGTGAATCACTGGAGACAATGGTGATATCCCATGGTGACATAAGCTTTAATTGTTTTATTGTTCCACTATTAATGTTTATCATTTTAATAGATTGATTGAAGAGATCTACTGCAAATATTTGATTTTGAGGTGAAACAGCTATACCAGAAATCCAACAATTCTTTATATCTGAGGATGATTTAGCATTGATTTTTCTAGGGGTAGACAATTTTATTGCTCCAGCACCTTGATTCTCTTGTTCAACTGTCTGTTTCTTATTCTTACCGCTCAATGTTCCTAATGATTTCTGATCTTGAAAGAATTCCTTGATATCTTGATTTGGTTCAAAGATGTACTCATCAATATCATTGATTGTTGGTAGTTGTGATATTATATTGCTATTATCTTCAATCAGTTGCTGAGCTAGCTTAAGTTCAGTAAACAGTTGGTCAGTTTTTTTGTTTGAATTGAGATATTTCAGAGTATCAGCTGATGCTTGAAGTGATTTGTTGATGTCATCACATGATGTTTCTGTTGTTTTCAACTTTTTTTCGTTTTCTTGTTGGGTTGTTGTAGCAGTATCTTTAACCTCCTTTTCTAGATTATCTAATCTCTTGTTTATCTCTTTTCTGAAATTGTCAATTTCTGCTATAGCATCTTGAAGAGAAGTTGTTGATGTAGCAACTCCTTGTTTCAGGTCACTTGTAATCTGGGAGCATTTGTTTGTCAATTTATCAATATCTTTCAGAGCTTCCTTGAACTCGGTGCTGTCTAAAATCTGCCCTGATATATCAGGTATGTAGTCCACGTGACAGGATGTTGGTGTGTGTTCAAGGGCTACACATACATTACATATAAGAGCATTATGGTCATAACAGTAGAATTTGATCACTTCTTTCCTGTGTTTAGTACAAGGCTTTGTGAAATCACCAATCCGTGAACTGGAAGTAGATTTTGATGATCCATGTTGTTTTTGTTGTTGTGGCATGTGCTCTTTATCTAAAAGTTGGTGAAAGTGTAGTGGTTTTGGTAGTCTGTGAGTGTTGAAACAAGATTGACATAAGTGTTCCTCACAATCTACACAGTAACCAAAGACAGGCAACCTGATATTAGCTCTGTCACATATTTTACAATAAATGTCAAAATCTTCAGCACCTCCTTGAGATAGTGTAGATGAGAAATTGTTAGATGTTTTTTTACCAGGAACAGCCATTATTCACCTGGAATTCACAAATAGCATACAGTTATTTATGACCAGCAACGAATTCGCATAAAGAAGAAATTTGATTTAGATTCTTTAACCTTGGGTGCTACTGCCCAATATAATATGTTACCCCCTAGCTCCAAGTAATTTGTTGAATGTATGATTCCAGATTATTTCAGCACCTAATGCCTTCACATTAATAATTGCAAAATCTTTGATTCTCATCTCTACCCGATCCATTGAAAGATGTGGGTGGGGTACAGGAAAATTATTGTCAAGGTTATTGTAGGTCAATGTTATAATGTTCATAAATAAGATATTGTAAAATTGAGTTTTATTAACTTCAAAAACATAGATGTTAAATAATATTATAAACTCACCATGATTTATCTTGCTCGCAGTGATATTTTAAATACACAAAGTTTAGTATTTTTAATAGTTCTCATCTGACAATTGAATTCCAGTCTAGCTATCCCCTGATAGGAAAACTTTACAAAATCAACCACTGATTCACAAGCCAAAATCTGTTCAATGTTTGAAGTATCATGTTACATTATATAATTATACACACACAAAAGACAATTAAATATTTTACATTTTGTAAATGCTTGATGGGAGTCCATACATGTATATATATAGATAATTTAAACTATAGTCTAGTTGATATGTTTCAGTTTGTATTGAATAGTTAAATTAATTGTCATGAATGGAATTAAATTGCTTGTTGACAATGTGAAGTTTAATCATTTTGATACCAAAAATAAATGTCCTTCTTCACAATCACAAGGATAGATCTTTAAATGAAATATGTCTTCACTATAAAATCATAATCATGTTTTGTCTAGTACATGTGTAATAAAAAATGTGACAAATTTTATACAATATTTAAAGTACGATATTTTTCTTGATTTATTTTTGTATGTTTTATGAGTTTTCCCACATCCAGGTCATCATAGAGCATAATGTCATGAATCAAATTGTCACAGAATGTACTGTCATAATCTTATAATTATGTCTCCCAAAATTTTTTTGTTTTAGCCTTCACCGTCTGTCTGTCTGTCTGTCCGCATTAAGCTTGTCCGGCCTTCGCAGGTCAAACTACTGGTGGTATTTCAACCAAATATTACAGGAGTGATCAGTACTATCCCTAGTTGTGAACAACACCGGCGATGTCCGCTTTGCTGCACAAAATGGCCGCCTGAGCTGAAAATAGAAAAATCTTGTCAAACTACTGGGGGGGATTTCAACCAAACTTTACAGGAAGTGATCAGTACCATCTTTAGTTGTGCACATCACCAGCATGGTCTGCTTCGCTGCACAAAATGGCCAACAGAGCTAGAAACAGAAAATTCTTGTCCGGCCTTCACAGGTCAAACTACTGGTGGGATTTTACCAAACTTAATATGCGTGATAAGTACCATCCCTTTTTGTGCACAACAACAGCATGTTCTGCTTCACTGCACAAAATGTCCACCAGAGCTAAAAATAGCAAAATTGTGTCCGGCCTTCACAAGTCAAACTCAACCATCCCTAGTTGTGCACAACCATTATTACAGGCTTTACACATAATGGTAAAATGTTAACTATATACATTGTATAACTATGTTTTTACAGGCTGTACAAATAATAGGAGAGAATGAGAAGATGAATAGTAGATTAAGCATTCTAGATGTCATACATGCTGAGAGAGATGAGTTGATACAACAGCTTGATACTACCAAACAAGAACTGTTTACTGAACAGAGAACAGAGGAAAGCTAGAACTAAAATAGATGAACTTAAAGAAGTAAGTACCTCAAGTTAAAGAAGTTAGTTCCTCACTTTTCTTGATTAAATAAGTAACTTTATGCTCTTATGACTGTAAAGAAGTAAGCTTCTGTAAGAATTATTAATTCCTGTATTTTAACCCTTAACCTGCTGAATTTCTTAAATGGACTTTTCCAATTTCCATCTTGGAACAGTCCATTATCAATTTTTGGGGATATCAAGGTGTGAATTTGAAGTTGGCCAGCCAATAGTATAGAGGCTGGCCTGGCTCTATACTGGTGGCAAAGACAAATCACTTTTGCCTTCAGCAGGGTAATGGTTAGCCCGGGTTCATGTCTGTCGATTTTTATGTGCTATATGACACTATCAAAACCAGAGATGTTGTGTTGAGTATGAAACAGTGCGTAAGTTATGAATAAGCAAAAACAATATGAACGCCTGAATCCCAGGCTAAGTTACAATCTACTACCGAGAATATTATTTTAGATGTTATTTATCTTCCACCGGAAAATTCTCGTTTTGTAAACGACATCGATGTAAACAATCTTGAAAACGAAATCATATCCTTTTGTAGCAGAAATAAATACGTAATGTTGACGGGCGATGTCAATGGCTGGGTTGCGCAAATGTCTGACTTTTTACCTTCAGACCCGTTTTTAAATGACATTTTTGATATCGACTCGGAATCAAGGAACCATTTTGATAAGTATACACTTCTAGAAAATTTAGCTATCCCTCTGTCCAGGACATCGAAAGATAAAAGAACTAACGCGAAACGGTTTAATGCTTATAGATCTTTTCCGCAACAACAATCTTTTTATAGCCAATGGAAGACTTGGCGAGTTTACATTTAGTGAAAAATCCGTCATTGATTATCTCATCGCTAGTGCTGACTGTTTTGAACTTATTGAAGACTTTGAAATTTATGAAACTGATCCTCTCTTCTCGCTAAAGTGCATAAGCACCTTTAAAATCCAACTTAAAACTAGTGCGTCTAACAACTCACAACCGTTTTGAGAAGATAGCTGTAAGGAAATGTTTGTTGAAAATATTAACCAACAACATGTGAATGACATCATTAACTCGTTAGAGATGACAAACACAAATATATCGGTCGAAAATGTTACCTCAGAAATACAATCATTGTTTGTAAAAGCTGCACCGTGCTTAATCCCGACTTTTAATGGATCAAATAGAAAGACGTGTGTAACGCGAAACAATCGGCCATGGTTCGGTCCTAAATGTAACAGCGCCAGAAACAATCACAACGCAAAATAAACGGACAATCACAACGCAAAATAAACGGACAATGAACTTTTTTATTGAAAAATATAAAGCTCGTAAACTTAGAAATATGCATTCTAATAATCCAAAGCAATACTGGCAGTTCCTCAAAAAGTTAAAACCCAATCCTACGTCAAGCGATTCTCCTAATATAGAAGAATATTATAATCACTTCATGCGTATTAATTCGGAACCTAAGCAAAACACTGACGAAAACAATGTTTTAAACGTGGAAAATTTTATTGATAATTCAAATGCGTTTCTAAATAAGGCGATAACTAATACCGAAATTATCAGGTGTATCGATAAATTGAATAACGGAAAATCATCAAGCCCTACCGACAATATTTTAAATGAATATATTAAAAGTACAAAATATCTACTTTTACCTGTATATAACCGCCTATTTAACGTAATTCTCGATACAGGGATAATTCCTAATTCTTGGCTGGAGGGTACAATTATCCCGATATTTAAAAATAAAGGTAATCCTAACGAAGGTGGAAACTACAGACCTATTACAATTCTATCATGCCTAGGAAAACTATTTACCGCAATATTAAACTATAGATTAACAAGCTATTTCGAAGAATTTAACTTACTCAATGAAAATCAAGCCGGCTTTCGGATCGGTTATTCTTGCTCTGATCATATCTTCACTTTATATGCACTTATTGAGATTCTTAAAAAACGTAAATAAAAACTTTTTTGTGCTTTTATAGATTTTTTCACAGTGTTTTGACAATATTTGAGACATGGTTTATGGCACAAATTAATCCAAATCTCTGTAAATAGTAAATGTTTCCAAGTGATTTTCAATATGTACCAAAATATTAAGTCTTGTGTTTTGTATAATGGAGAACAGTTTCCGTTCTTTTTTTCTGATATTGGGGTTCGTCAAGGGGAAAATTTAAGCCCTGTTTTTTTTCACTTTACCTAAATGATTTACTTGGGAGTACCATTCTCCAGCAATGGATCTTTTTTGAAAGCCAGAAAGCATGTAGCCCAACAGGCTAGTAAAGCCATGCACCTGCCCTTTACTTAATCTCAGAATGCATACTTTCCTGTTGACTATACAATGAAACTTTATCAACATACTGTTTTAACTTATGGATCAGAAATTTTCGGCTATGAAAGTTTGAACATACTTGAAAAAATAAACAATGATTTTCTTAGAAGAATGACTAATGCGCGTAAGAGCACTCCACTTTACATGCTTTACGGTGAAACAGGCCCACTTCCCGTATCAATAATTGTTACAACTAATATGATCTCGTTTTGGACTAGATTGTTACTGGGAAAAGAGCATAAAATTTCTCTATTACTTTACAATTACATGTCAAGTTTAAACGAATATAATTTAAAATGGATCTCAATAATTAAAGAAATTCTAAATTTGGTGGAAAGACCAGATATATGGCTATCCAAACAAATCGCTGATAATAAAAGTACCCATAAAGTAATTAAACTGTCGTTTAAGAGAATGTTTTAATGTTGTCATTTTTTGTATTTATTTAAAAATTGACCAACTTACAAAAATTTCAACGTACACATACTGTCTAGAAAGTGTCAACGTACACACTCACAATTTAATTTGATAATGGTCTGAACATGAGGCTGCAACTTCGAAATAGGTGGCTTTTTCCAACAAAAAGTTGGCTTTCAATTGCATTTCATTTTCATCTGCAACATTTTCAATTTTGTCGTGTTGGGCTTTCTTTAGAAATTCTGTTTTACTATATTTCAATTTAGATTGCCCTCACAAACTGTATATAATTACTAGTTTTTTAACAAAGGAAATAGTTGAGAGTGCATTCATTTCGTCGCAAATAAACTTAAACAACCTTTAACTTTTTTTTTGTTATTCATTTACTTTTGTTTTTAGAAGACAAATTTCCAGTTACTCAAACTGCTTAATGATTAGCTGAAACAGCCGTTTTTATATTTTATACTGTATT